GGACTCACCGTCCGCGTACCGGCCCATAGTGCTGCGCGACGAGGCGGGCAAACTTCTTGAGCGTATCATCGCAGATCGCCTCGTCAGCCACTTGTGCAGAGTGGGGCCAGACCTGGACGAGAACCAGTTTGGTTTTCGTCGCGGGCGCTCCACCATAGACGCTATTACGCGCGTGAGGGCCCTGGCGGAGGAGACAGTATCACGGGGTGGGGTGGTGCTGGCGGTGTCATTAGACACCTCCAATGCCTTCAACACCCTACCCTGGAGTTGTATTCGGGACGCGCTTAATTACCATCGCGTGCCTCCCTATCTCCGCCGCACAATAGGGGCCTACCTTGAGGAGAGATGCGTCACGTATTGGGGACGTGACAGCGCTGGTCGACGCGTCATGTCGTGCGGTGTTCCGCAGGGATCGGTCTTGGGACCGCTCCTGTGGAACATCGGCTACGACTGGGTGCTGAGAGGTGAGCTCCCGTCGGGCGCTGACTTGACCTGTTATGCGGACGACACGCTCGTCACTGCCCGGGGGAGCTCGCATAGGGAAGCAGCGTTGGTTGCCACGGCTGCGGTTTCACAAGTGGTGAACCGCATCCGGTGCCTGGGCCTGGAGGTGGCCCTTAACAAGTCGAAAGCCATGGTGTTTCATGGCCTTCGACGCGCGCCGCCACCGGGATCGCACATCGTGGTCGGCGGGGCCCGGATAGCTGTCGAGTCCACCATGAAGTACCTGGGATTGGTGCTCGACAGCCGATGGGAATTTGGGCCCCACTTCCGGCGGCTGGCGCCCAAGCTGATGCGTGCAGCTGGCGCACTTTCAACGCTGCTTCCCAACTTGGGGGGCCCGAGCGCTCCCTGTAGGCGGTTGTACGTGGGAATCGTGCGGTCCATGGCCCTGTATGGGGCCCCTGTATGGGCGATGGACATGACGGCCAGCACTCTTGCCATTCTGCGCAAACCGTAGAGGGCGATGGCCGTCAGAGTCATCCGCGGGTATCGCACGATTTCCTACGAGGCGGCTTGCGTCCTGGCCGGATCCCCGCCCTGGGACCTAGAGGCGAAAGTACTCGCGTCACTATATCGCTGGCGCGAGGAAGAGCGGGGACGGGGCTCGAGGCCGGTGCAGCGACAGATCGTGCTGCGCCGAGAGGTGCTCCGTCAGGTCTTGGTGGCGGAATGGCGGCAAAGGCTTCTGCGCCCTACCGCCGGCCTCGCTATCGTCGAGGCGATCCGGCCAGTACTCGACGACTGGCTCGGGAGAAGGCACGGCTCCCTGTCGTTTAGGGTGACGCAGGTGCTGTCGGGGCACGGCTGCTTTGGCAAGTACCTGTGCCGCATAGACAGGGAGCCGGACGCTCGGTGCCACCACTGCGTCCATTGCGGGGAGGACACGGCGCAACACACGCTCGCCGAGTGTGTAGCTTGGGAGGAGCAGCGCCGTGTCCTCACAAATGTAGTAGGAGGCGATTTGTCGCTGTCGGCCTTGGTGCGGAGTATGGTCGGTAGCGCAGAATCGTGGGATGCAGTGGTGTCCTTCTGTGAGAACGTGATGTCGCAGAAGGAAACTGCGGAACGGGAGAGGGAGATTTCGACTCCCTTCCCTGGCCGCAGAAGGCGCACCGGGCGCAGGAGAAGGGCGGACAACGCCCTTTTTCCAGCCCCCATGAATAAGTCCAGGGGCGAGGGACTAGGGGAAGCCCCCGCCCCCTTATTCGATGGACCCGAGGCGGAGGCACGCGTGGGTGTCGGCGCGTGCCTCTGAGGTGATACACGGGGGTAGTTGAACACCTCACTACCCCGTGCAGGAGACGAGGCCCGTATAGACCGGGCCAGCACTAGTGTGGGGCTGCGGAACAATTTGGATTCCCGCGGCCCCGCGCGTGCACGTGCGAGAAGACACCGGGGTGGTTTTAGCCGGTAAGAGTCCGGCACACCCCTCCGCCTGTCCCCAGGCAGAGGCAGTCCATGAGGATTTCCCCCCCCCGTAAAAAAAAAAAAAAAAGGTTAGGTTAGGTTAGGTTAGGTTAGGTTTTTTTTTTTAAACTCATTTCATCTGCTGTTCTTTATTTTACAGCACCCTTGATATCTGTTTTTTTTTTTAACTTTTGGTTTCTTTCTCGTTTTTTTTTTTTTTTTTAATTATTTAACATAAGTTATTTACAATATTCTGCTCTATCACCATAGTTCAATATTGATAGCAGCTATAAAATATCTCACAAATATTACTATATTAGAATCATGACTGGCTGTCTTGATTTTTTTTTGTTACCTATGTTTATACAATAAGGCATTTGTACAGTTTATTCTGTTTTGCATATCAACGCTTTAACTATTTTTTTAATACATTAATTACTTACTACTTTTACAATATTCTGTCTTTATTTACAGTGAGCTATTAGATACATTCATCTATACCGCTAACTACTGCTAGTTTTCTATCTGCTAAAAAGTATACTAGCTATACTAAATGCTTCTATTGATAATACACGCTATTGCTACCAGTTTTAAAATAAGTTAAGTATTAAAGTTATAGTTATTACTAGCCTTACTATAGTTATTATCATCTACTGCTTCTAAGACCATGTATATCTAATACTACATCAAAAACAATTTTTTTTTTTCTTATACTTTAATTATGTTAATATATTTTTGACCCATTTTCTTGTAGCACTTTTCTCAGACACCTTTCGGCGTATACAAGAAAATGAGTGCGACTGTCATTGTCGTTGACCGCCCTACACAGAGAGTCTTCTTTTATCGGAAAGCCCATACGGTGTTCGCAACAAATTCTTAAACTCGCAAATCTAGGGCACTCTATTAGTAGATGTTCTATTGTCTGTGGTGTTACATGGTCGCATCCACAGTGTGGGCTCTGGGTTAATTTAAATTTGTGCAAATATGCATTAAGACCTCCGTGTCCTGTAAAAATTTGACATCTTAAGTTATTTATTGTAATCTTCTTTAATGTCGTATACGCCTGGATCACGTTTGGAAAGAACTTTTTCGTGACTCTTCCGGTGTCTGATGAGGTGTATAAGTCTTGCCAGGTATGCAAAGTGTTATCCCTGATGTGGCGCTTTGCAAAAGACAGAGGAAAGCAGTCGTAAACAGGCTTCTTTTTTAATGTTTCCGCTGCTGATTTAGCCAGTTCGTCGGCTCTTTCGTTCCCTTGAATACCACAATGGGCTTTGATCCAAAACAATCTTGCTTTTCCCTGTTTTCTTTCTATTTCTTAGATACGGGCCAGAATCTCTGCTGCTATAGGGTGTAAAGTGTTTGGATTCGTGAGGCATTCTAAAGCTGATTGCGAGTCACTCAAAATGTTTGCATGTTTGAGTGATTGTTTGCTCAACATGATTTCTGTGGCTTTTAAAATGGCTGCTAGCTCCGCTTGGTAAACACTACAATGGTTTCCTAGCTTTAGTTTAGCCTTGTGTATTTCTTTTCCCTCCTTCCAGCAAGTGATAGCAGCACCCACTTTTCCTGAGATTTTGCTGCCATCAGTATATATACATGGCCAGTTGTTTTCTATAGCACCTATGTCACTTTCTGAAGTTATCATCCCGTACTGTTGTCTTGTTCTATTTGCTGGATGTGGTAGCATGTGAGGGTGTATGGGTTTGGCTAGTTTCCTGCCAGGTAAATTCGCAATTGGTTTCCCCCTTTTGATCATATAGATTTCGGCATTTTCTTTGGCTCTTAAATCTAAGGGTAGAATTCTGGCTAGAATTGTGCAGGATAAATAAAGATGTCGTACGGTGTGCCTTACTTATCATTATTGCGAATATCCTGGTGATTCTGTCAAGCCTGACTTTTTACTTGTTTTTTACTTGCTGTTAGGCCCCATGCCCGAGCCGCATATAACACTGTAGGTTCAACTACCGTGATATATATAGTTCTAAGGATTTCTGGGTTGAGACCCCAGTTAGCTCTAGCTGTTCTTGAGACCTTTTTGTAGAGTTGGATTGCCTTTTCCGTGGTTGTATCAACATGCTTTATAAAGTTGAGGTTGACATCAATCGTTAGTCCGAGAATCGTTACACTTTCAGAGAACCTTATTGCTGTGTTATCGAGGAGTAATTTTGGAGTTTCGTATTTAATTTTCCTAGTCAGCAGAATTGCTTGGGTCTTCTGTGCCGCCAGTTTCATCTTTCTCCTTCTTGCCCAAGTAAGAATATGTTCGAGTGCTGTGTTAATTTCACGTTCTAAGTCCTCTGCTGCTTTCCCTTTGGCTATAATCAATATGTCGTCTGCATACGCCTGTATGTGTGTACCTAGTTCTTCTATCTCCCTTAGTAATGGGTCAAGTTGTAGGGTCCACAGCAGAGGTCCGCAGGTCGATCCTTGTAGTTTTATTTTCCTATCAGAGAGATAACTGCTAACAAGCCTACTTATGGACCTGTCAATCCTTTTCTTTTCGAGCTCGTTTATCATTGGTTAGGTTAGGTTAGGTTAGGTTAGGTTAGGTTCCCCCCCGAACGGGTTCCCGCCTTGTCGTGGCGGGGGGTCTTAGTAGCCGTGGCTTGGTCTCCCACGGTGAACAAAGAGGAACCCACGTGGCTGGCCCGAGGTGAAGGGCCGGCCTGAGGTGGCCACTCCGAGTGGGCTTGGGGAGCCCACTTCGGATGTGTGCTGGTGGACTGCAAAAAAAGGTTAGTTTAAAAAAGGTTAGGTTAGGTTAGGTTATTATTTTTTTTCTCTGTTCTACTGCTGCTATACATGCAGCACCCTTGGTTACTTTTTTTTTACCTGTTCATTTTATCCTCTTTTTTTTTCTATCTTATTGTTACTTTACAAAGATTACTATAAGCTTGTGTCTTACAAAATTTATTTATACTATTCCGAATGCTTACAAAGATACATTTACTTGTTTCATTATAAATAGTAAATTTTCTTATCAATATTACATACTTATTTTCGCAAAATATTTTTGTTATTATTTTCCTGTGCTATCAATTATTCTTTTTTTATTTTGTTTATACATATTTACTCTTATCACAAATTTACTTTAAGCTACTTTTTTGCGTTAAATTCTGTTACAAACAACCTTTTTTACAGTTATTTCTAACTTTATACATATAATAATTTATTATTTTACTTTTTTCATATATATATACTTACTATTATATAAAGTTACTATTATATTATCATAGTTACCTTGTACAATTTTAATGCAATTGTCCATTGCTTTAATTTTATATACTTTTAACTTATAAAACTATGCTATTTTGGACCCATTTTCTTTTCCTGCGGTACGAACGACTATTTCTGTATATTTTAGGAAATGGGTCCGACATTCATCGTTGTTAATAACGTATTTTAGGGTAGTATCATTTATTGCAATTCCCATCTTCTGCTCGCATTCTAATCTTTTCAAAGCGAATCTCGGGCAATCTATTAACAGATGTAAAATTGTTTCGTCTATTTCACTACTGCATGCACAAGATGGGGACTGCGTTAAATTGTATTTGAATAAATACGCCTTAAAACCTCCATGACCTGTTAACAATAGCGTCTTAACGTTATCTAGTTTAATATTTTTAAGTGTACTGTGTGCTTGTCTTATGTCCGGAAAGAATATCTTCGTGACTGCTCCTGTTGTAGCTTCATTGTATCGTTGTTGCCACCTCATGCAGGTAGAGTCCCTGATGAGTCGCTTCGCGAAGGACAGGGGGCACTTATCATAAGCTGCAGCTTGTTTGTTTGACAGTGCTGCCTTCTTTGCAAGTTCATCAGCTCTTTCGTTGCCGGGTATACCAATATGCGCTTTGACCCAGTACAACTCAACATCACCGTCTTTATTTTTTAATTCTCTTAAGCGTTCTCGTATTTCAACTGCAAGAGGCTGGAGAGATGAGCTGTCAGTTAGGCACTCTAAAGCTGATCGTGAGTCACTTAGTATTATTGCTTTCTTTAATTTACTGATCTTGCACATCATGTTAAGTGCTTTAAGAATCGCGGTAAGTTCAGCCTGATATACACTGCAGTAACTTTCTAACCTAAAAGTTGATTTGAGTATTTCTTTCCCCTCTCTCCACACACTGACAGCGCCACCTACTTTGTCTTCTAACTTACTGCCGTCCGTGTATATTCTCGGCTTAAGGCCGTCGATTGCGTTTTCTTCTTCTTGTGTAACTAACATCTTGAAAGATACACGGTACCTTTCAGCGGGATGGGGTAAACATGGGCTTACTGGTTTTTCTATGGTCCTTCCTGGTAGTTGTGTTAGTGGCTTTCCTCGCTTGATTTCATAGAGTGAAAGATGTTCCAATGCTCTTAAGTCAAGAGGGATGATTCCTGATAGTAACACGCTAGACGTGAATGAGATTGTCCTGTGGCCTTTGCAGATCTTAATTGCAAACATTCTTGTAATACGTTCTAATCTTTTCCTCATGTATTCTTTTTTCGCTACCGTGGCCCATACACTTGCCGCATAAAGAATAGTTGGCTCCACTACAGCTACATATATTATTTTCACTATATCTGAGTTAAGACCCCAGTTGGCTCTTGCTGTTCTCGATATGGTTTTATAGATATTTAGTGCTTTTCTGAGAACTTCATCTAAATGTTCTACAAAATTTAGATTTCTGTCAAAAGTAACACCAAGTACTTTCAGACTCGAAGATGGTTTGATAATAACATTATTCATTTTAATTGTAGGAATTTCATAGGATAGCTTTTTTGTGATTACTATTACTTGAGTTTTATGTGGAGCGAAGTTCAATTTGTATTTTTCCCCCCCATGCCACTATTTTTTCTAAAGCCGGGTTTGGTTTTTCTTCTACTGCATTAGCTGAGTGTCCTTTTGCAATAACAAGTATGTCATCCGCATACGCCTGTATACGGACATTTAATTTTGAAATTGATTCGAGAAGGGGATCTAAAAGAATGTTCCAGAGGATAGGTCCACAGGTAGATCCTTGTATACAGCCTTTGGTGGTTGATTTTGTGACTTCTGCTCCTGCATACTTTAGTAAAATACTTCTAGATGACAGGTAACTAGTGACTAACCTGAAAATCTCTGGACTAACCCTTTTCTTTTTCATTTCTGTGATTATTTGGCGCCACCAATCGTTATCAAATGCCCCTTCAATGTCGAGAGATACCACTACAACGACCATTTTTTCTTTGATGCCCTGTCTTATCACCGTCATTGTATCATATAAAGCGTCTTCTGTGCTGCGCTGTGGCATGAATCCGTATTGCAAACTGTTGAGTTTATCTTCACTTCCTAACTGCCATAGAAGTCTCGCTTCAAATAATTTTTCTAAAATCTTCCCAAATACCGGTAGTAATCCAATAGGTCGGTATGATTTAGGTATTGAATAATCATCTTTCCCAGGCTTTGGAATGACTTTTATTACAGCCTTTTTCCAGATCTCGGGGAAGTGCCCTAATTCTAGACACTTGTTGAAAATTGCCTTCAGCGTTGACGGTGAAGTTTTGTAAGCCTCATAGCAGATGTCTGATGTTATACCATCTTCTCCTGGTGCCTTTTTGGGGCTTATTCTTTGTAGTACCATTTCTATTTCTTCTTCGGTGAATTTCGGAAAATTAATAGAGTCATATCTTAGATCTTTAATAATTGCATTCGATTCATCACGAACTTTTCCTTGTTCTTCGGTGTCCTTATTTACTTCATCTTCAGGGTAGAATACTTTAGCTAGTAACTTAGCTGAATAATGGTTAGGTTCCTAATCATGGTAGGTTAGGTTAGGTTAGGTTTTTTTTTTTTTATAGACCTCCCTGAGACTTTGGGAGACTGTTTTTACAATTTGTCTTTATTATCTTGTTTGTTTATTTATCTTCAAAAACTCATTCATACATCATATCTTATACTCTGCTCGTCAGCCATTCAGCATCCCATTTTCATCTCGCTTACATCATCTTTCAATCATGGGCTGAAGGCCATAGTGTACTTACATTCTAATTGAAACACAAAGGGGGCGGGGACAGTGAAGGGGGGAACAATAAATTTTTAATTACATTCAACATTTTGCAGTATCTAAACTAATATACATAGTAAACTAATTTTTACGACTTTTATAAACTAATAATAAGATAGCAAATTATTATACAACAAGGCTAGATACCTTAAACTACTGTCTAAACATAACAATTCCATAACATACTTTGGGTATCTTAAAAACTATTTTTTATATAAGACAGGAGTAAAGCAACAGGACATTAGGTATTGACTACATTTTATTTTAACAATTTTTCTCATATGAATAACAACATTCTATATAAGACTAATAACCAACTTAATGGCAACTTAAAACTATGTTCCTAATTACAATTTATTTATGCTAAAATTATTTATATATCAATATAATTACTTAGCATAACTTACACTCTATTTCTTTTATTTACAGCAATGCACAGTTTTGTACAAAATTTGAGGAACAAGTCTCTATTTTTACCCAGTACAATATCCGGAAGCGTACTTAATTCCAGTTTGCAGTCCAATAAGAACTCCAGCTCCTGCCTCTCACGGTCATGACCCGGGTGACACCGGCTGTTTCACCAGCCCGGTATCGTTGGTTCCATTCATCTAGCGATCGCATACGAATGCTTCGCCTGATGAATGAAACCGGGCAGCTGTCATAGTCAAAACTGCGTTTAGACTTTAGCGCAGCTTCCTTGGCCAGATGGTCGGCACGCTCATTCCCCTCTAGTCCCGCGTGGGCTTTGATCCAGAACAAATTGACAAGTTTGTCCTGTATCGAAGCCCTGTGCAGGTGGCCCCGCGCCTCGATGGCCAGGGGGTGGAGGGCAACTGGATTTATCGTTGTCTGCAGTGCCGACAGAGAGTCAGAATAAATTCCGATTGATCTGGCCGAGTTATCTGCGGCCGTCCGCGCCGCCCTGCATATCGCCAGGAGTTCCGCCTGGTAGACGGTGCAAAAGGACGGCAAAGTTAGCTTGAGGGTTTTGGTTTCGGCGGCGCCCCTCCATATGGATAACGCCGCACCCACCTTGCCCTCAATCTTACTGCCGTCCGTGTAGATATTAAGTTCGTGGTCAATATTTACCGCGAGTTGTTCCTCGCCCGCCAGGCACTTGAACTCCAGGTCGATATGCTGAGCGGGATGCGGAGACCGCAGAGCCGAGGACATTTGTTCCACCTCCCGATCTCCTATCGCGTCCTGGGGTATACCCCTCCTCGCACCATACAGCGCCGCGGCTTTCGCGGACGCGCAGGTCAAGGGGGAGTATCCCAGCGAGCAACAGTGCTGAGTTCAGGGAGGTGGTGCGGTATGCCCTACACAGCTTCTGCGTAGGGCCCCGCTGGACCACGTTCAGCTGCTTTCGAACACCGAGCTTATCAACAGCCGGCGCCCAAACGGCAGCCGCATACAGTATCACGGGCTCAACCACCGCTCTGTAGATAGCGCGGATAACTTCGGGGTGGAGGCCCCAGCTCGCCTTCGCGGCTCTCGAAAGCTGGGCGTAGAAGGCTACGGCCTTCTTACACACATTCGCGACGTGCGTGTTGAAGGTCAGGCGCTGGTCTAGGACGACTCCCAGTAACCTGAGTTCTCCGACCATGCCAATGTCGACCCCGCCCATGTGTAGGCGTGGGGTCTCATACTTCAGTTTGCGCGTGATGACCATGGCACTGGTCTTGTGCGGCGCAAACCTCAGTTTGTTCTGGACTCCCCACTCCCTCACATGCTCGAGGGCGGCATTAGCACGGCTTTCGACCTCATGAGCCGTCTCACCTTCAAAGACCAGCACCACATCGTCAGCGAATGCCTGCACATAGTGATGTCTAGCCTCCAGCTCGCGAAGCAGTGGATCCAACAAGAGGTTCCACAAAATCGGCCCACCGATAGACCCCTGCACGCAACCCTTCCCGGTTTCCCTCACGCGCTCTTCCCCGCAGTACCGTGGGCGAACATGCCTGCCGCTCAGGTAGCTGCCCAGGAGTCTCCTGATGTTAAACGGCACCCGTTCCTCCGCCAGTCTGACTTTGATACGTGGCCACCAAGCGTTGTCGAAGGCGCCCTCTATATCCAGTGACACAAGCGTCATCAACTTTTTGTTTTTTAAACCTAATCTGATGTGCTCAACTAGTGTATAGAGGGCGTCCTCGGTATTCCGCTGGGGCATAAAGCCAAACTGGCGGGTGCTGAGCCTGGGCGCTATATGATATTTTAATCTGGCGACAAGCATTTTCTCCAGCACCTTCCCCAGCACCGGAAGGAGACCGATCGGCCGATACGACCGTGGTGTCGTATAAGCAATCTTCCCCGGCTTGCGGAGGAAGATTACCGTGGCCTCCTTCCAGGGCTCGGGAAAATGCCGGAGTTCGAGGCACCTGTTGAAAAGAGCGAGTGAGAGTTCGGGGTCAAATTTTATCGCGTGCAAACATATATCGGCGGTAAAACCGTCCGCGCCTGGAGCCTTCTTCGGATTGAAGGACCGGCAGGCCAATTTCAACTCCAAAGGAGTGAAAGGCGGGTCCGTCAATTCCGAAGAAGTTTCAACGTCAAATAGCTCAGCTTGTACCCTCACCCTTCGGTGCTCCTCGGAGTCATCCCCCCTCGGAGTCCTCCGGGTAAAAGGTTTCGGCCATATGCCTCACCGAGCCCCTGGCGTCTAGCTCCATACTGTCTACCACCAGCGGTGGGTCTTCGTCTCTCCTGAAGGTTCTGCCGAGGACCCGGTAGATACCCCCCCCCCAAACCGACTCCCCGTCTTGGCGTTCGCAGAAGGAGACCCAGCTGCGCGTCTGCACTTGCCTTACCTCGGTCTCGTAACGCTCCTTCGCCTCGAGGTACTCCCCAACTACCTTTCGACGCCTAACCGGCGCTGCACACCGAATCCTGCATCTCTTGGTGGCCACCTCGCGCTTTAGCGCTGCCAACCCCTCGTTCCACCATGGCATATTCAACACATCCTTGCGCTTGATTGGCGGAATAGACGAGGCACATGCTTCGGCTATTAATGTGTTGTATTTTGTGATTGGGTTATCTAATTGTGAAACGTGTGTTAAATTTTTAATGTAATCTAATGTAAAGTTTTCTCTATTGATAATTTGACCCAGTTTCTCACGAAACTGGGCCCAATTTGCGTGTTTAGTGTAATATATTCTTGTGGTGTGCTTGATGAAATTCTTGTTGATATGCCTTGTCGTTAATGTGTAGGATATGCCATTGTGGTCCGAGCTGGTCAGGTCCTCGCGCACGCGCCAGTCGTCCACCAAGCTATACAGGTCCGGCGATACGGCAGTTATATCAACATAACTGCTGTACCTTACGCCGCCCCGGATAGTGTCAAATGTAGGGTTTCCCCTCGGTTCAGGATGCAGAGCCCGAGGTCCTCCAGTGAGCCAAGCAGTTCCTCGCCGCGGCGATCTGTCACGGGACTCCCCCACCAGACGCTCTTGGCATTGGAGTCGCCCCCAATTATAACACTCCTAGCTCCCGTCTCGCGCTGCACCCGGCGCAGGTGTGCTAGGTACGAGTCCATCGGCAGGTCGGGCTCAAAGTAAAATGAAACCAGGATGATCTCCCAGTTGCGGACTCGGATCCCCACCACTGCGATGTTGGTCGTGGTGAGTTTCGGGTACTGTGTTATGTGAAGGTCCGCGTCAAAAACTATGATCGCGGCCTTTACAGTCTCACTTCCATGGTCCGCACACTGGAAGACTCTGATCCCATTTTGACTCTTCACACGCCCTGTTCCGCCGACGTATGGCTCCTGTACCAGAGGAAACCGCGCACGCTGGTTAGAGGCTTCGATCAGCAGCTCGGAGTGTGCCAACTTACTGCGCTGGAGGTTCGTCTGGAGGACTTTGAGAACCACTGCGTTCGCCGGCACGCCCTTAGCAATACGCTACGGATTGCCGGGCGAGGTCATCCCACCTCTTCCTGACGGGACAGTTGTCGCTAAATGCGTTATGTTCAACATTGTCAAACTTCGCGCGACAACAGTTCCGGCAGAAAGGTGGGGACCCCGCCAGCCAATCCGCGCATTTAGTGCGCAAGTGCGGCCCTCCGCAGTGGCTACAGAGGTCAGCTGGGTCTTTACAGTACTTACGCCCGTGGCCATAGCCGAGGCATCGCGTGCATTGGACCAGTGGCGACTGGTCCTCCGCTCGCACCCTCTGGAGGTCGATGTGGACCGAGCCCACGCCGGTTATCCTCGCCCAGAGGGTGGGCGACGCACTCAAGACCACGTTGGCCACGTGCGGGTTCCTAGCCCTTCTGCGATACCTTACCTCGAGTCGGTCATCCCCAGGGCCGAGGCCGTCAAAGAGGTCCCGATTCTGGTTCCTTAGGGCCTTTAAAATGTCACCATCGGTGTTGATTGTTAGGACACCTCTAAGGATCAGAAGCGGGTCTCTATTTTTGACGTCCTCGACTTTGAGGCCCGACCCTTCCTTCGCCAATCTCTCCTTGGCCTTTCTCCGGTCCTCGGCAGTGCTAAAGCCCATGACGACCTTGCGGTCTTTGGCCTTCCGGACCCGGTCGACCTTAACCCATCCCTCCTTCGCGTTTAGGGTTTTCCTCACCTTTCCAAGGACCTCCTCTCCTGTGTCCTCTTCGTCCTTGGAGGTGACAACCACCGAGTGGAGAGCAGCGGGTCTCGCTGGCTGCTGCGGCCTCACAGCAGCCACGCAGGCGTAACTACGCTGTTGGTCCTCGGCCGACCTGCTGCACCTAGTGAGCTGCTCCTGGAGAGCCTTCATCCGCTCATTACTCTCCAGGAGAAGCCGAGAGTGCTCGTCGAGTTTGGTGCTCAGTCTGGAGTCCGAGGGCACCGTAAATGTGGTGTCGGCGTCCTTAGTCGTCGACACACCCTTCACGGAGCCCCCGGCCCCCTTACGAGCCCTCTCGGCTTTCAGGTCGGCTTCGGACTCAATAATCAGTTTCTTGAGCTCGTCCAGGGACCCCAGGATGGTCTCTTTGATATCCCTCCTGAGGTTCCTGGACGAGTCCACTGCCTGTTTCGCCTTTAAATAATGGTGCTTGGCCCGCTGCAATCTGGTCTGCCCGGTGGTCGCCACTGGTGAGTGAACCAGCACTTCAACCCCCCCCTTCGGACTCTCAACCCGCTTTGGGGTCGGCGTCTTTTCCTTAGGGGTGGAGGGGGCGCCCGGTCCAGCCGTATAAGCCGACTCGGGAGCCATCCCCACCCCCTTCGGACTCTCTACCCGCTCAGGGGTTAACGTCTTGCGCTTAGAGGTGGAGGGAGCGTCCGGTTCAGCCGTACAAGCCGTCCCGGGAACCGCCCCCCTCCCACTTCTCCATACTCTGTCTTGGCAGCTTTTTCACGATCTTGGGGGGAGTTGAAGGTGGGTTCACTTTTTCCGGCCGCTTGACCGGTGTCCGGAGTCCCAAAACCATTTTTCAGGGAGGTCGCGTCAACAATTAATAAAATAGATAAATTTAAAATAAAGTGTCGAAATAAATAGTCAAAATTTATACTAAAAAATTTAATAATAAAATTACCGCAATAGCGGGTTGTATAGGGAAAAAATAGAGAGTGTTCCGTCAAAAATCAAGTGCCGTAGAATACTACGGCCCTTACTCAACCTAAAACTACTTAAAAGCTATCTAAAATGTCTTCCGCCGCGACTCTACGGTGGAACTCTACAGTGACTCTAGATAGAGTCGCCCAATTCACCAATCGATAGCGCTTTCCAGGGGAAAGTCAACGGAAAAAATCGCGTCGCTCTACGACCAGCGGTTTCCGAGATATCACGCCTTAAAGATTTCCAAGATGGCGGCCGGCTATCTGGTTTCAGTCTAGACCGAAATTTAAAAAATTATATCTCGAGAACCGCTGATCGCAGGAACGCGAGCGACGACTTCCCGTAACGGGCGTTTTGCCCTCTATTTGAAACCTGCCAAATTTTTGGCAATCTGGAGGTCGACTCTATCCAGAGCCACAAACTATCACAAATCGTAGAGCTCACCACAACTAAGCGTGTACAAGAAACCGCGTCTTTCTAAGACGTCTAGATCAAAAGTTATACAACTTTTTATCAAATCAAAATGGCCGCCAATATGGCTGCCAGTTTTAAGGATTTCTACTAAATCCGTTCCTATTTGTCGTATCCTATCGAGCTTGGGCTCGTTTGATTCGTCTTTTAATCTACAATCTAAGTCTACAATTATCTACAAAAAATATTTCAACCCCGATTTTTGGGGTGCAAAAAACATATAAATTTACAACAAAATTGGCAAAAACTCGAAAATTTTAAATAAAAATTTATTCTAAAAAGCTAAGATTATACTTATACACTACTTAGTCTAATTTTTTCAATAGGTTGCGAAGTGATCAAATTGTTATTTACACCCCCACGTGTCAACCCTTAAACTTTAAAAAATCGTAACTCCAAAAATATTCAGCCAAAAATTATGAAATTTATAACATTGGCAGAGCTTAATGAGCCCTACAAACTAAATAAAAAATATGGGGGTGTCGTCGATCTTTATTTCGAAATAAAAATTTTTGAATTTTGGAAAATTTTAAAAATTTTAATAACTCCGCAACCACTAACCTTAAAATTATGCTTGATACGGCATTGAACTCGCCGCATCGTGCCGCGTCAAATGAGCCACCTCGCGCTGTCCTCGGGCCACTGGATCCAGAACCACGTGTCCACGTGGTACCCGGTTTTTCTTTAATAACTCCGTGAGTTTCCACCGGAAAAATCCGGCCGAGGTGTCACAAGAAAGAGCTCAGCGAGCCCCGTCTGCAGATATAAAAATATTCAGGGGTGACAGATCGCGTTTAGGCAGCGTTCACGCTCAAAGTTTTTAAAAATTAAAAATTTGCACTTTGCACTGTTTTTCTTCACACTTAACGCGCACGGCGCGAAAAAATAGAATCTGTCACTAGCTGGGGCAACTATTCCCACAACTTTTGGTGCACAAATTGTGAAAATCGGAGCACAAAAAACCACTTTTTTCCATTTTTGAAACAAAAATCGGGCGGAGCGGCACTCGACCGACATGTAGCACGTCCACCTCAGAGTGCGTCTGACGACGGAAGGGGGGGGGTTAGGTTAGGTTAGGTTAGGTTTTTTTTTTTTTTTTTTTTAATTTCTTTTTCCCCTGACATGGGAGATCAGGGACCTTGTGCTCTTTTCTTTTATTGGTCAATGTTCTTTTTGACTTTTTATATATTTTGTTTTTATTTTATTTACAATATTTTATCATTTATCTCTATTTCACATTTCCATTTTATTACTTGACATCTTTATCTTCTACCACATTACAGTGCTTTCCTTTTAACTTTCTTGTTACATTCTCATTTTGCCTCATTATCTTATTTTCTTACTTTCTATTTATCTCTATTTTATATAATTCTTTTACTTATCTACTTATAGTATCGCTATCTTATATTTACCTCAATATTTTTTTTTCCTTATTACTTATTACACGTTAATTTGAAATTGATCTATTTGTACTATACATGTTGTCAATTTCCTTTTGTTATTACTATTACATTACTTACTAATTACAACCGTTTTTATTTATTAATTTCTACTTATTTTGGGACTTGTATTATATATTCTTAAATACATATTCAAGTTCCCTTCTACATCTACTTATTTCTATCTATAGCTATTTTCGCGATACGCTTACAATATTCTATGAAATTAGCTCTATTTTCTTTGTCTTTCATTATTATGTGTATTTCCTCTCTATTTATTTTTATTTTAAGTTTTAATTCTATTTCTTTTCTTGCTCTATAATTTCTAGGGCACTCTGTAATGAGGTGTATTACCGTTTCTAAATGTTCTCTATCACAGGTACATGAGGGGCTCTCTTTGCATTTGAAACGGTACAAATACTCGGAGAACCCGCCATGTCCTGTTAGCACCTGCGTCAACAGTGGGTCCAGTTCGGTTTTCCTAAGAAAGGGGTAAGCACCAAGTGCATCCGGAAAGAAGATCTTGGTAGTGGTGGCCGTATTCTCTTCTCTATATCTCCTATTCCACTCGTCAAGCGAGTTCATCCTAATTTGGCGCTTGACGAATGAGATTGGACATTTATTGTAAAATGCTTTGGTTTTGGTCCTCAAAGCGGCTTCTTTTGCCAAAATGTCAGCCCTTTCATTCCCCTCCACCCCTGCATGTGCTTTGACCCAGTGCAGAGCAAGTGACTTTCCATGTTCTTCAATCCTTTTTATATTTTCTCTTGACCTCACCGCCAAGGGGTGAAGGGAATCGCTCCTGGTTATAGTCTCCAGGGCTGATCTGGAGTCGCTGTATATGTTGCAACTTCGTGCAGAAGAATGAAGTGCAAATTTAGTGGCCTCATGCAGGGCCAACAGCTCCGCCTGGTAAACGGTGCAATAGCGATCTAGTTTAAATTTTTTGGTACTCGTTTCAGCCGCGCTATCCCAAATGGACAGCGCCGCACCCACTTTCCCTTCGATTTTGCTCCCATCGGTAAAGATGGTGAGCTCGGCGTTATTTGTTTGCTCCACTTGTGCACCGTCGCCCAGACATATGAACTTCGGCCCCACCTGGTCCGCGGGATGCGGCAATTCTGTATATGCTTCCATTCCCTCCAGATCCCGGTCACCTACTACCTCCCTCGAATATCCTTTTTTGATTTCATACAGAAGTGCCGCCTCCCGGATCCTTAAATCAAGGGGGAGCAGCCCAGCCAGAAGGAGGGCTGAATTCAGTGAGACGGTTCTATAAGCTTTAACAATCTTCTGCACGAAGCCGCGTTGCACCGAGTTTAATAATTTTCTCGTTTCCACCTTTTTGGTCGCCGGTGCCCAAACGTTCGCTGCATAAAGAATTATCGGCTCTACCACCGCCAAGTATATGGTCCTCACTATCTCCGAATTCAGACCCCAGTTTATTTTTGCGGCTCTTGAGAGTTGGCCATAAATTGTCTGGGCCTTCCTACATACATTTTTTATGTGCCTATTAAACGTTAATTTTCGGTCAATAGTCAGACCGAGTATTTTAATTTCCTGGGAGTATTCTATAGCCTCCCCACCCATGGTTAGAGCTGGTGAGTCGTACTTTAGTTTATTTGTAAATAGTATGGCCTTGGTTTTATGTGGCGCGAAACGTAGTTTGTTTCTGACTCCCCAGTTCCAAACATGCCCGAGGACAGCATTTGTTCGCCTCTCCACCTCCAGTGCAGTGTCTCCGGAGACAATGAGGACCACATCATCCGCAAACGCCTGACAGTGCTCCCCCATCAACCCCACTTCTTTCAACAACGGATCCAATAATATGTTCCATAGGGCGGGACCGCCGATTGAGCCCTGCACGCACCCCTTTGTCGTGTTTTTCGACCATTCTGCTCCAGCAAACCTGACGCGTACTGTTCTATCCTCAAGATAGCTATCTATCAGTCGCCTTAGATTCACTGGGCACTCCGTCTCCGCCAGTCTGCAGCGTATTGCCGGCCACCAAGCATTGTCGAAGGCTCCTTCTATGTCCATTGATACCAGCGCGATCAGTTTTTTGAGCTTCAACTCATTTCTAATACACTGCATCATGTCATAGAGAGAGTCCTCGGTACTACGTTGGGGTAGAAAGCCGTATTGCTTGTGGCTGATGGTCGCCGTGGTGTACCATCTAATCCTTCTGATCAACATTTTTTCAAGTATCTTGCCCAGAACTGGCAGTAGGCCAATAGGTCTATAGGACTTGGGATGCGTGTAGTTCTCCTTTCCCGGCTTTGGTAACGCAACCACCACGGCTTCCTTCCATAGCTTTGGGAAGCATGCCAATTCGAGGCACTTATTCGCCAAAGCCAGGAACAAATCGGTGTTCAGAGTGATGGCAGCTTTGCAAATATCTGCTGTTAGTCCATCTATTCCAGGAGCCTTTTTGGGATTGAAACTAGATGCGGAGCATATCATTTCTTCCTTCGTGAAAGGCGGGTCGCATAGTTCACCTTGCGATCCTACGTTTACTCTGCTCGCTAGCTCCCTAATCTTCCTGTGGTCCGCATTTTCGTCCTCAGTTTCATCCTCTGGATAGAAACTATCCGCTAGGATCCTGGCAGATTCTTTGTTCCCCACGTTGACACCGTCGCAGATTAAAGGAATCTCCTCTTGCCTTACTCCTGTTCTACCAATCACTCTGTAAATCCCGTCCCACATGGACTCCTTTTCCTGCTTGCTGCAAAATTGTTTCCAACT